GGTGTTCCTCAGGGGTCAGCATTGGAACCGACACTGTTTAATGTCTTTTTCGGTGACATGGGCAGTGGGATTGAGTGCTCCCTTGGCATATTTGGCAATGACACCAAGCTGTGTGGTGTGGTTGGCACACTGCAGGGAAGGGATGAGATCCAGAGGGACCTGGACAGGCCTGTGAGGTGGGCCTGTGCCAACCTCATGAGGTTCTACAAGGCCAAGGGCAAGGTCCTGCAGCTGGGCTGGGGCAATCCCAAACCCAAACACAGGTTAGGTGGAGAATGGATGGAGAGCAGCTCTGAGAAGGACCTGGGGGTGCTGGTTGATGAGGGAGGGGATTCTCCTCCTCTGCTCCAGGTCCCAGCACCAGGAGGACGTGGAGCTGCTGGAGAGGGCCCAGAGGAGGCCCCTGAGGAGGAGCAGAGGCTGGAGCCCCTCGGCTCTGGAGCCATCTGAGGGAGCTGGGGGTGTTGGGCCTGGGGAGGAGAAGGCTCCGGGGAGACCTCCCAGCGGCCTGCCCGGGCCTGAGGGGCTGCAGGAGAGCTGAGGAGGGACTCTGTCAGGGACAGGACAAGGGGGGTGGCTCTAAACTCAGAGAAGGGAGCTTTAGATCAGATATTAGGGAGAAATTTGTCACAATGAGGGTGGTGAGGCCCTGGCGCAGGCTGCCCCAGAGAGCTGTGGGTGCCCCATCCCTGGGGATGCCCAAAGCCAGGCTGGATGGGGCTGAGGCAGCCTGGGCTGGGGGTCATGCCCATGGCAGGGGGTTCAAACTCGATGATCGTTAAGGTCCGTGCCAGCCCCAGCCATCCTGTGCTTCCATGGTTGTGTGGGAAATGATGCAAAGATGGGTAGAAGAGGAAGAGCAGCGCCGTGCCCACCACCCCCCACCCTGCAGCTTCAAAGGGAGGGAGGAAGGAAGCAGCAGTCGGGGTTTTACGGTGGGAGATGCTTAAAAAAGGCAGGAAAGAAGCAGGAGATGTCTCTGAAGAGCCCAGGAGCTGCTGCTCACATCCCCGAGCGAGGCGACGAGCCTGGGCAGAGGAGTCTCCGGGGGAGCTCCCCCATGGCCGTCAGTACCCGCAGGGAGGTGCGGAGAGGCCGGAGCCGGGCTCTGCTCAGCGCTAACCCCCAAATCTCCCCCCCCAGGACCCCAAATCCCACCGTGTCCCCTCCTCCCATCGCTGTCCCCGCCCGCTGGGGACACCCCGGGGCGGAGCCCCGCATGCGCTCGGGGCCCGGCGGTGGCCGCGGTGGCCCCGGGGACGCGGAGCCGGAGGTGAAGGCGCGGTGAGTGCGGGTGGGGACACCTCGGGGACACCTCGGGGACACTTTCGGGGACACCTCGGGGCTGGCAGGGGTGGGGACGGGCAGCGGGGTTTTGCCCCGGTGCGGGCTGGGGCGCGGTGCTGAGCATCCCCCGCGGGTCCCCCCGCCCCGAGTGCGTCCCCGCGGGCGCATCCCCAGGAGGGTGGCTCAGGGCAGGGGGAGCTGCCCCCGGTTTCCACCAGGTTTTGTGCTCCGAAATTGTGCCGAGCGCTGGTGCTGCTGCTCCGCCAGCGGTTTTGGAGAGCCTCGTGTGGGTTTTCCACCGTGGGGCTGCGGGACAGCCGAGTCCTTTGGGGACACCCAGGTTTGGTTTGTCCCCACGCTGCCACCCACCCTTTTCCTCCAAAATAACCCCAAAAGTGCCAGCGAGGGCTTGTTCCCCGCTCCCACTCCCCAACACCCTCCTGACCTCATCAATCACCTTCCTTTTACTGCCCACCTGTTTTTTTTCCCCGGAGGAAAACACCGAGAGCATCTCACTTTTTTTTTTCCTAGACCCCTTCCCCTGCCCCTTTGGAGACCCCACTTTTGAGGGACTGCAGCTGGGCAACAATTCCTCTGTAATTCCCAAATCCCTCGACCCTGCAAAATTCCCCTCTGTGCTAGAGCTGCAGGTCGCGGGGGGAGTGCTGAACCCGGAGGGGTGGTGAGGATGAGGATGTGGGCGCCGCCGCCCCGGCAGCGGTGGTAGAAAATGAGTGAAATCAGGAAAAGGTCGCGCAAAAGGGTGAAGGACGCAGGCGATGCTCTGCAGGAGTGGAAAGCAGGCTGCTGGGTCTGGTTTTGCTCCCTTCCAGGGCAGGGAGGGGACGTTGAGCTGTGAATTCCTGCAGCTCCCGCTCCCACCCCGAATCGGAGGGGGGACCGCGCACCGCACACAGTTCCTAGAAAGGCGCAGCCTGGCCAGGCCAAACCACAGGCTGCTGCTGCACGTTTCCTCCCCGTTCAGCACCCACGGGAGCCTCCTTTCTGCTTTGCTTCTCTTCATTTCCCCTCAAGCTGTGCCTGGAGGGGGGCTGCGTCCCTCTGGCACAGGGAGATGTGCAGCCCCGAGCACAAAACGGGGCAGCGGCTGAGGACGCCTCACCTGCTTGTGTTCACAGCTCTTTATCCGCCTCCCCTGAGTCATGCACCGGCTTAATATTTAGCTGCCGACGCACTTTATACTCTCTGCTCCAAGGGTCAGACCAATATTTGATTGCGGAGCTGTAAGAAACTCCCCGAAGCAGTAAATTGCCCCAGGAGGCTGCAGGTTGTGGGGCCGTGCCGTCCGTCCCTTGCCCTTCAGGCACAGCGCTTTGATTTTTTCCCTGTGAGTCTTTGGGACCAAGCAGGGATTTAATCATGCAGATGCCGCCCAGCATCCCACATTTTGGGGGGGAAATCTGTCCTCTGATCCTTGCTTCCCATTGCTGAGGGCTTCGGAGTCCCCCCCCAAAGGGCAGTGCCACTCGTCCCAGAGCTCTCTCGGCCAAACAGGAGGATGGGGACAAGGACAAGGACGAGAACTCGCGGCTCCAGGGGGTTGGCACGGAGCTGCAGGCTCTCCCCGGCAGCCCGCATGATTTATATACATTTTTTTCTCATGACCGAAGCTCTAAAACGTGCAGCCTTCAAAATGTTTGCAGGCAGCAGGCAGTGGTGGATGACAGTGTGTTTGCAGCAGAGCCTGGAGGCTTTGGGGACATCCTGGCAAAGCTCCAGATCCCCCAAAAATGCGCAGCCGGTTTGCTTTGGGTTTCTCTGCCTCCAGGCAGGTGGTTTTGGGGCTGTCCCACCAGCAAATGGATCTGAGCGAGGAGGGATTTGGTGGCTTGCTGAGGTTGGCACTGAGAGGTTTGTGCCCATCAGTGGTGCTGGGGCTGTCACCTGGACTCCTGGGGCTTTCGGGATCAGGGCAGTGACCCCATATGCGGGCAAACTGGCCCCAGAGATGCTGTGTGCACAGGGATGGAAGGGAAGCGCCCCGTATCCCACGGACATCACGGGAGGAAAATCAGGATGTGAAAGCAGGATGCAGCTGAAACAAATCCCAGCTCCCTTTTCAGCCCGCGGGGAGAGGAACGGGCATTTCTGTGGCACCATTCATCTCCTTCCAGCGCTGGCATCCGCAGCAGGGCAGGTCACTCACCCCGCTCCATCAGCGGTCCCAGCACGACCGAAGGCAGCAGGCGGGGACGGATCTGGTGCTCGGTGGCAGGGGACAGCTCGCAGCCACATACCTAAACCCTCTCTGCCCCAAAACAGGGCGGATTTACCCCAATCCCATTCACAAGGCTGGACCGAAACCACACTGGGAGCGTGCTAACACTTCGGCAACCTGACAAATGCAGGTCCTTGATGGGGAACGTGCCCATATCTGGTATTAATACCAGATATTAACACTTTTAAATACCAAACATTAACAGTTTTGCATCTACCGAGTGCCACAGTTGGGTTTATTTTCCTTATTTTGTTTTATTTTTTTTTAATTCACGTGTCTCATGCATCAGCTGCATTATCAATGCAATCGATGCAATCCAATAATTATCAATATCAACGAAGCAGAGACCCGGCGCTGCAAAAATCAGAGCCCTGCATGCAATGGAAAATTTTCACAAGGTTGCCTTGCTTTGTAGCAGAATTGAGGTTATTTGTAGGCTTCCCCTTCAAGGTCTTCAGTAAATCACGTCCCTAAGGGACGGGGTTTAGTGATGGGACTCGGTAGGTCAGGCTAGGTAGGGTCTTGATGGTGGGGTTTTGTGAGACCCCCCCTGCAGCCCCGAGCTCAGCTCCAGGCCCAGCACCAGGAGGACGTGGAGCTGCTGGAGAGGGCCCAGAGGAGGCCCCGAGGAGGAGCAGAGGCTGGAGCCCCTCTGCTCTGGAGCCATCTGAGGGAGCTGGGGGTGTTGGGCCTGGGGAGGAGAAGGCTCCAGGGAGACCTCCCAGCGTCCTGCCCGGGCCTGAGGGGCTGCAGGAGAGCTGGGGAGGGACTCGTGGTCAGGGGTAGGGACAGGACAAGGCGTGGTGGCTCTAAACTCAGAGAAGGGAGCTTAGATCAGATATTAAGGAGAAATTTGTCACTTTGAGGGCTGTGAGGCCCTGGCGCAGGCTGCCCCGAGGAGCTGTGGGTGCCCCATCCCTGGGGGTGCCCAAGGCCAGGCTGGATGGGGCTGGGGGCAGCCTGGGCTGGGGATAAGGGGCTGGAACCAGGTGCCCATCCTATAGTTCTGTAATTCTTGACAGAACTTGATTTGAAAGGTCTTTTCCAACCTAGGTGGTGCTGTGGTTCTACCTCAGCTGTTTTCCTTCCAGACCCGGGCAGCCCCTGTTGGGTGAGCCGTTGTAGCACGACCTTTGGGCTGATGTGGCTGTAAGGGGGCACGCAAACACGTCAAGGAAAATGAAATATTCCCTGCCCCAGCACTGCCTGGTGCATCAGAGCAGTGCCTCAAGAACACAATATCTTGTTCTCCTTAGGCAGGTGGGGATTTCTGTCCTCATTTTATAGACTTGGAGGTGGAAGCCCTCTGACAAGAGTCCCGAGCACCCTGAGGTGGTGACACCCACCTAAATCCCAGTAACTCCCTCTGGGGATGGCATCAGAGGAAGGTTAGCACGGGCAGGTTGATGTGCCACCGAGGGAGGAAGCAGATAGTGCCAAGAATTCCTGCTGTGAGCCCTTGTAGGGTCTCCTCTTCATTTCTTGTCTCTGCTGGAGCCTCTCCAAAACACCAGGGACTCAGCATGGGACTGAGGATCTGGCATCCTGGTCCCAAACTGGTCTTCTGAAGCGAGCCCCAAGCAAGGGGGAAATGCCCCAAGGTGGTGGGGGAGATGCCTCAAGGTGGTGGAGGAGATGTGGGTGCTTGGGGAGGACCAGGAGGGCTTTGGGGTGCAGCTTGCAGCCTGGGTGCATGGGCTGGGTGCAGTTTGCAGCCTCTCCCTGACCCCCTGCCAGCCCTGGGGGGGTGAGCAGAGCTGCTCTCTGCCATCCTGCTGCAGCACAGGCTGTGATGCCAGACTTAATCCCGTGTAGGAAGTGGTCAGAAGAAAAGCCCAGGGTCCAAAATGACCCGAGGTCCTCCCGAGGGGCCTCTGCTCAGCTCTTAGAAGAAAGGAATTCAGGAATTCATCACGTGCAGCTCTCCAAGCTGCCCTGTCGTCCGCTGCTGCGAGATGCCTGCGGTTATTTTCGTGCTGCCCACAACCACTTTTCTTTTAAAATTTAAATGCATTTATTCAAGACTTCCCCACAGCTAGGTTCCCCAGGCCTGCCTGCTTTGTGTACCAGGAGTTGCTGCCTTTCTGGAAGCAGATACACGCCCAGTGCCTGCGCACTGTTCTGCAAGTAAATATTATCACGCTGCTACAGCCTCCCTTGCAGAGGGTTAACGCTGGGGCCAGGCCGGTGGGAAAATCAGCTGTACCCCGCAGGAAAATTTCCCATTCAAGCCCTTCCATTAGCCTGTGAGCAAAAGCAAAAGAAAAAGCTCGGGTTTCCAATTACTTCGGAAGAAAGGGAGAGGAAAAATTGGAAGGGGATCGGTCCTCCTGGGTGCCACGGCTCTCATTGTGGCTGCGATGATACAGCCTGGCCAGCGTCCACTCTCCTCCTTCCCTCCTGGCAGCTCCGGCCCGAAAGAAACAAACGCTACTCGGTGGCTGGTAATTGGGAGCAGCCAAAAGGACTGAATCCCCCCTCCCGGAGATGGGGGCGAGGACGGAATCGCAACGAGCCGCCCCGAGCGATGAATGTGGCTTTCAGCCATGCCGCGACCGCCCCCGCCAAAGGGAAAGAATAAGGGCTCTGTGAAAGCAAAACAGCCAGTCCCGACCCTGGGGGTTCTTTTTATATTTTATTTATTTATTTGTATTATTATTATTCCCCTTCTTTTCTCCCTTCCCAAACGTTAAAGGCTGTGTCCATCACATGATCGCTGGAAGCTGCCAGCTTGCTCCTTCGTGTCACAAGCTTGGTTTAAAATAAGCGGCCGGCCGGATTCCTGCTTTCCTCGCCGTTTGATTTTCAGATGTGTTTTCCTGGGGTTTCGGGCTGTTCTTTTGAAAATCTCTGCACCTCCCCCTGTACTGTTAAAACCTGGCGTTTCCCAGCTCCGTGAGCCTGCCTGGAAGAAGCCCTGCGCTGGCAGGGGGGTGAGCAGCGTGGAGCCTCCCCCTCACTGAGCTCCAGGGCGATGCTCGCTATATCTGAGATGAGAGACTGGGGCAAAATCCAAGCGTTAGCAAAATCCTGGCTCTGTACAAGCCGGAGCCAGCCTGTGCCTGGTGCAGCCGCTGCCGTCCCTCCTGTGTGCTCGTCAGCATGCAAAGCAGGCACGCCGCCGTGGTGGAAAACACGCCGTGAGCCCCGTGTCGGCACGCATCCCTGCGCCCAGCCTCCGTCGCCGTCTCCTGGTTGCCCTTGCTCCTTGCAGCAGCTTGCAGCGTGTTGCTGCTCCTCTGCAGGAGGTGAATGTCCTGACCCTGCTCCGTTGCGCTTCGCTTGTCCCATCTGTGCAGTGTCTGAGCTGGTTTTCTGGGTCCTGGGGTCAGCACTAGCAAAGCTGGGGGGCTTGGGGAGCCTTTTCCCTCGTGTCTTGCCACCGTGAGCCCCATCACCAGCTTTGGTGGAGCTCAGGACACCCAAAGCAGAGTTCATATTCTCACCTTCCCATAGGGCATCCAGACCAGGAAGACAAATATTGTCGCAGTAGAGGCACAGCCATAAAACCTCCCTGCAATTCCCACCGCATCGTGCTCAGCCTCAAGCCAAGGTCTGGCCACATCAGCCAAAGAGTCACGGGGCAGCAGAGGGGGGATATGACAGTGCTGCATAGCCACGAGTGGTCCTGCCTGGACTTTGCCTGATCCTGAATCTGAAGTCAAGAATAAGATGGATGAATGATTTTCTTCTGTCTCCTTCAGTTATCAGGAGCCAGAACAGACTGGCTCAGGTGAACATACCTACATTAGAAGTGTGGAGAGGGAATGTTGTCCCTTTTTCATGCCATCCCCTTGTAGGAACGCTTCAGAGTCCACATTTACCTTCCCAAATGTTGGCATGTACCCCCATGGGGGCACACAAACCGCTGAACGAAGCGTGTGCCCCATCTCGGATCCAGGCCTGCAGACCCTAAGGAGGGAACTAACATCCCTGTGACTGCACAGCGTCAAACCCCAGCAAGGGCCCTGCCTTCAGTCTTGCACAACCGTGAAACTAAACTACCAGGCGCGGGCACCACCTTCCCTCCCACCTCCCGCAGCCAAAGCAGCTCCGTCCAAGTCAGCAGCCAGCTCCCCCGGTGGCACAGAAGGAAGCAAAACGTCCTGAAAGCTGCTAACGGAGAAAGCCTGGAAAGCAAAACGAGAGAATTGGCTGGAAAACGCTGTCACCGTCGGCTCCCATCTGCTAGAGGAAGTAACGTGAAAACAGTTGGTGTGGTGTCAGAGGGTTGCGAGGGGAAGTGGGACTGGTGAGCCGGCACGTGGCCTGCTCTGACTTTTTGCTCTTGGTGCTGTCTCACCCCGGGACTGTGTGGTGGGTCCCGTCTCTCTGCTTTCGCTTCCTCTTGGTGGGTGACACCGGCCTCTGTGTCGCCTGCCTGCTCCGGGGCTCCCGTCGTGCACCCGCTCTCTCTTCCTCTGCCTCGCCTCTTGCAGCGGATGCTACGGAAGAAAAATAAGACGTTACCCACACTCGGGCAAAATACTCATTGCCGTTTACTTATTTGGGGCCAGCTCCATGCCCTGCAGGTCGGTAAGGGTGTATGTAAGTGTAGGAGTCAGGCCCCGGTCCTACAAACACACCTGTTGTGTCTGGGGAGGAGAACAGAGCCCGGTGGGGCTCCATCAGTATCCAGTTCGGTTAAAGCATGGTCGTGTGTGATGAGTTCATTTTTTCAGTGCGATAGAAATGCCAGCAGGGAAGGGAAGCATCTCGGGTGGAAGAGGAACAGAGGGTACTAGGAGTGAACTCAGCACTGTGAGGTTTGCTCGGGTGCAGAAGGGCGAGTTATCCCGTAGGTGAATCATTACACCCCGAGCGGTGTGTTTGGGGGAAAAGGGCTGACAAATCCCCTCCACGGGTGCTTTCTTGACATCTGAGTGCTTCTTGAAAGCCTGTATTTGCAGCTACTGCCTACTCCTAGACGTGCTCCAAGGCGGAGGAGGGACACGGCGGTGCCACCTTCCTCCATGCTGAATTTAGGTGCCACGTCAGGAGACGCCCCTTGCCTCTAAGAGCAGGGTCAACATCTCCAGGGTTTATACCCCTGAGGAGAAATCCCCCCCGCTTTCCTCCTCGTGTTAACGTTTCCTCCATCTCTTCTCCCGCAGGGCACAAGGACGACGTCCCCCAGAGCCGTGCTGCCGGGGGAGATGACGGCCATCCTGGAGCGCCTCAGCACGCTGTCCCTCAGCGGGCAGCAGCTCAGCCGCCTCCCCCGGCTGCTGGAGGACGGCCTCCCTAAAATGCCCTGCACCGTCCAAGAGGCCGAGGTGCCACAGCTCTTTCGGGAGCCCTACATCCACGCCGGGTACCGTCCCACCGGCCAGGAGTGGCGGTACTACTTCTTCAGCCTCTTCCAGAAGCACAACGAGGTGGTCAACGTGTGGACTCACCTCCTGGCGGCGCTGGCCGTGCTGCTGAGGTTCAAGACATTCGTGGAGGCCGAGCAGCTGCCCGTGGACGCGTGGTCCTTGCCTCTGTTCATCTTCGTCCTCTCCTCCGTCACCTACCTGACCTGCAGCCTCTTGGCCCACCTGCTGCAGTCCAAATCGGAGCTGTCCCACTACACCTTCTACTTCGTGGACTACGTCGGTGTCAGCATCTACCAGTACGGTAGCGCCCTGGCCCATTTCTACTACAGCTCCGACCAAGCCTGGTACGACAAGTTCTGGCTTTTCTTCCTCCCGGCCGCAGCTTTTTGCGGCTGGCTGTCCTGCGCCGGCTGCTGCTACGCCAAATACCGCTACCGACGGCCGTACCCCATCATGAGGAAGATGTGCCAGGTGATCCCAGCCGGGCTGGCCTTCGTCTTGGACATCAGCCCCGTGGCTCACCGGGTGGTGGTGTGTCACCTGGGGGGCTGCGAGGAAGACGCCGCTTGGTACCACACCTACCAGATCCTGTTTTTCCTCATCAGTGCTTATTTCTTCTCCTGCCCGGTCCCTGAGAAGTACTTCCCCGGCTCCTGCGATATCGTTGGCCATGCCCACCAGATCTTCCACACCTTCCTGGCCATCTGCACCCTCTCCCAGCTGGAGGCCATTTGCTTGGATTACAAGACCAGGCAGGAAATCTTCCTGAAGAGACACGGGCCCTTCTCCATCTATCTCTCCTGCGGCTCTTTTTTCGGCCTGGTGGCTTGCAGCGCCCTCACAGCCTACGTCCTGCGAGGCAGGATCAAGGCCAGCCTGGCGAAAAAGGACTCCTGAGGGGCGCGGAGGCCACGGGCAACGACACCACCGGGGTGGTGCAAACCAAGGAAAGGGGCATAGCGTACTAGAGACGTAACTGGCTTGTTTGCCTAACACACTGTGACTAACCTGGACCTTGGACTTGGGTGGAGGGCTGGGTGCTGGATATGTTTTCACGGCAGGGGCTGCCTTCTGCCCTACGGGGGGACAGAGAGGGATTAAGCCAGAACAAGGCACTTAACCAAGGATGCTGAAATAGGCAGAGGTTTCTTGTTCACTCTGGCAAACCTAGTTATCTAGCTGGGAGCTGAACTTCAGGGAAGGTGGCCTGAGGGCTGTGAGGCTGTAGCGGGGTCTCACGAGGCGGTGGAGAACCCACCATGAGGCCCAGAGGTGCACGTGGTGACCTCTTTGTGTTTTGCTGTCTCTGAGGAGACCTGTTAGCATCACAGGCAGTAACAAGGTTTCAGGAGGAGTCCACACTTGTAGGGTTTGGTTGCAAAGGGTATGTTGGAACAGTGGCTGCAATAATCCTTCTCCTAGCTGGGCTAAGCCAGGTTCTCTCGACGACCTCCTTCTCAAGTATCTCAATGCCAGGTGGCATCAGCAAAGCATCTAGACCTGGACTTGACCTTCTTTAGGATGAACGGGGTCCGAACCTTTGTGTCTGCCTGGCACTGGTGTGGGCTCAGCCACCTCTGACCCAGGTGGGGATGTCAGCTCATCTCCATCTCCTCCATCTTCATAGTTGCACCATTTTAGAACCACAGAGCAGCTGGAAAAGACCTTAAAGATCATCTGGTCCCAGCCCCCTGCCATTTTGTCTGCCTGTGTGTAACAAGTTCGTGCATTCCTGTGTTGACTGACCCCGTATCATCTGCCACAGGAGGCTGGCTGACTTCCAATGCAGCCCACATGGTGTAGAAGTAACTTGGGTGTGATCGGTCTGATAGGGGAAAGGCTCTGGGCCCCGGGCCTCCAGCAGCCCTAGGATGGTCGTAGACAAAAGGGGATAAAAGTGAAGTGGATGTGAAGCCTTTGTTCCCCTCTTAATGGTTCTTTTTAGGATGCCAAGCGATCCTTGGTGGGCATTGAAGCTGACTGTGAAGCTTCAAGGTTGCTCTTCTCTGATGCATAGGGCTGTGGATCGGGCATGTTTTTATCAGCACTGGATGAAGGTAGAGTGGTGAAAGGCAGGAGCAGGTTGACAGAATTAAGGTTCTTTGTAGTCTTTGGGATGGGTTTGTCCTTGGAACTTGGTGAGTTCCAGTTCAAGTGTGTAGGAAGGGTTGGTTTATGGTGTCCACAAGTAGACGAGTCTCTTCTGGGTTTGCTGGGGGGAATATCAGGTATGGAGCCGCATACCTGTACTACAGTTGGTAGCACTTACAGGACTGATGCTGAGAGCCCTCGCAGGGACCTGTTCCATTCAGCCTAGGCACCTCCTGTCCGACCCACAGCTCACTTTCCACACGAAACTCGGGGTCCTCCCAGCTGTATGCTGTGCAAGACCTGAAGCCTCAAATGCCCTGACATCTCCAGGAGGTGCAGCTCTTTGCTGAAAGCCAGGGAGACTTGGGATCTACTCCAGCCGGGGATCTCTCTCACCGAATCCAAGGGCAGGCAAACGAATTGTGGTTGCTGGTCCTGAGCAGGCAGGGTTTGGGGTTGGGGATATGATTGATCATGACAAGCACTGATTCCTGCACTTGATCCGTTTTTTAACTATTGAGATGTGTTTATGTGTGCGCGCGTGCCTGCTATAATATCCAGGAAGGCTTTGCCTGTGGCTTTTTTGTCTGCAGAGCTTCCTAGTTGTGTCCAGATGGGCTAAAACAGAAGGAGTGGGCACCGCTAGCAGCAAGCCGTGCTCTGCCCCTACCTGGTTATACCGGTACCAAAAGGCAGAGATCACCCGGGCGTTTCCTTCTCTATGGCTTTGAAACTAGGTGAGATGTTGAGCCCCTGGCTAAGGAGGATGACTACAGTAAGGCCGCCCAGTTCACAGCGGGGTCGGAGGTGCCCCATGATTCTCCTGAGGTTCCTCTGGCCTTATATCATCTCCTGCCTGCTCCAGCAGAAGTGAAACTTCTCCTTGTGGGGCAACCGTTGTGTGGCAGCACTGCTGTTTCCACATCCTCCCGTGTTAGCCCTCAGCTGAGGCCACTCCTAGCCCCGTGGGGCCCTGCGCTCAGACCTGGAGCTGACCTCCTGGTCACTATGATGGGTTAATTTAGCAGGGAGCCGCCACACGGGTGGCTGCTGCTGTGAGGATGCACCCTTGGTGTCACAGGGGGCTTGTCTCCACTGGAGCTTCCTCCATCCCTGTCTCCATCCTCCTCCTCTTCCTCCAGTGAGCTTCTCTGTTTTGGGACTTCATCCTTGTGCCTTACACACCTGGTTACCTACCTGTGCAGGCTCCACATGCCGTGCCATTGATCTAGGGGAGAGCAGGGCTGCGTCCCGAGGGAGGAAAAGTGTCTCTGTGCTAAATGTTCAGCCCACCTGAGGGCCTGTCGGGGTCTGCTCCTTGGGCTCGCTGCTTGGAGCTCGCCTTCCTCCATCCTGGTGCTCCTAAGGAGGCACGGCTGGGAAGGGCGAAGAGGAGGCCACCAAAGGTTGATCACGAAGGGACCCAAGTCCTAACCCTCACCCTCAGGAATCTCCACTCCTGAGATTGTTTTTTAGCAGCCTGGGTCTTCACAGATCCACTGAGAAGTCAGCCCAACGTGCCTTACGCCATCACCTCCTGGGATTTACACTCTCTGCTGGTCCACTTTTACCGGGGACTGGCTTTGCCCAGCGTACGAGGCAGAAGGGGAGGATGGAGAGAGGTGCCTTCAACTTGCCTTAAACTTGCAGTTTTGCCCAGTGATTTGTGTAGCAGGGCAAGGACGGGTTCCTCATGTGCCTTGCAATTGACAGCTTTTACTGACGAGATTGTTTTTAAGCACTGTTTGTTACTAAACCGAAGTACGGAAGAGTTTGTATTATTTTTTTCCCCTGGGAAACAGGGAAGGATAAGGGTGTTAGATACTAACCATCCCCTTCCCGCCTCCCGTCTGCTGACGTCGCATTGTTGGAAACATTGACAATATTTTAAGCTTTGTACTGTACTGATCATTATTTAAAAACCTTAGTGAAAAGAAAAAAAAAAAAGAAAACTGTGAAAGTAAACCGATTGGTGTGGTGTGAAATTGCCAAACGCACAAAGGTTGTGAGTCACGGGGAAGAAACTTCGGCCTTACGGGAAGAGTGGGCAATAATAATAACAATAATTAACGCCGGGGTGTGATTTTATCTGTGTATTTCAAAGCACAGGTTTCATAGTAATTCTGTGATAATTACGCCCTGACACTGATTAGAGGGATTAAGTTCATCATCCACAGGAGTATTTGGGTGCTCGGTATTCCTTAATTTCTTCCAGAGGCGAGTACCTTAAGTGCCATGGTCCTCTGCTCCAGGCCCAGCAGCCCCAGCTCTTTGCCTGTACAGAAGCCCATCCTATCCTACAGCCTTTGACATCCCTGCCCAAATTCAATGCCATCTGGGCTTTGGCTTTCCTAAATTCATCCCTGGGTGCTCAACCATATTCCTGTGTTCATCGGAATACAGGAACCTGTCCCTGCTTTCACCCTCTGCACGCTTCCCTTTCGTGTCAGGGTTTCGTGTTGAGGTTTTGGGGATTTCTCCATACTACGGCACTTCCTCGCTTCTATGCAAACGCTGCGGGTGCCCCCGCTTAAACTTTGCTCTGTGGGTTTTAATATCCATTTCTGCCATAGCTCTCTGAGGTATTTGCTTATCAACCCTGTCCATCGCTCCCTTGCAGGGGCTGGTAACTCTCCCTCACCTCTTATTCCTGGTTCCAAGCCCTCCTTACCATGTGCAATCTCATACATGCTTCATCCCTAAGATATACTCTCAATGATTCAGTCCCATAAAAAAAAATAAAATGCATTTTTTTCCTTTTATTAGAACCATACGAATAATTCTAGTCATTATTTAAGACCATGTGCAGAGCCAGGCCTCCGTACCAGTATGTTTTCGCCCAGCAGAGGGCGAGATGTCTTCATCTGGAGCACCAAGAGGCCGCCCGTGCCACGAAAGCAGAGCCTTCAGGGCTCTCCAGACAAGCTGAGGAAAAAATGTTGCCCTTCAAGCGGGCCTGCTGCCAGCCCTGCGAGGAGATGCATTGCTTTCCGAGCGAGGGATGTGCTTTGCAAAAGTCTCGCCCTCTGCATAAGTGGCAGGGATTTTGCCAGATGCGTTAGGGCAAAGTTTTACGTTTCCATCAAGCAAAAACTGAAGAGGAACGGGACAAAATACCCAAAGAGGGCTGTTAACCTTTTCAACGAGAAGCAAAAATAGAGACTTTTGGTATGCTGAGAAGTTGCTTGGCAATACTGTTTCAGGGAACGTGTTTACTACACGCCCTTTACTCTTTGAGTTTACATATACAAATCCTTAATGGATGAAAAGCTAGATACGCTTATTAGCAAAAGCATCTGCTTATCCCAAGCAGATGAAGTCAAATGCAAAAAAATAAAATAAAATAAATAAAATAAAATAAAATAAAATAAATAAAATAAATAAAATAAAATAAAATAAAATAAATAAAATAAAATAAAATAAAATAAAATAAAATAAAATAAAATAAAATAAAATAAAATAAAATAGCTTCCGAGTCAGAAGAGCAAAGTATTTTATTCTGGTTATTTCCTGAGTCACCGGCCACAGAGGGCGTAATGTGAGGGAAGGTACAATTTTTAATTCAGGCCCCAGGTGTTGCAGCAGATATTCTGAGTTGCCTCAGGAGAGGTCCTGTTACCCAAAGTCAGTCTTTGCCTGGTCTTATCCTTGCAGCTCTCTTGAAACATGGGTTAAGAGGCAGAGCATCAGCCAGCAGCTCTAAGTGGGATGTTTCCTCCTTTGCTCTGCTAAGCTGCTGTTGAAGATGGTCTCAGCAACTACGTCAGGAAAAGAATACTTCCCAGTGTTGTCTGCTTCTCCTGTGGACTCCAGAACAGAGAAGTAGAGCCTTCACAGCCTGAAAATCAGGATTGAACATAAATAAATGAAATAAAGCATCAAGAGACCAGCAGGGCCTTAAGCTTTGCAGCTGTCCCCAGTGATCTCTTTTTCGTTATCCTGTAGTTCTTTATTTTCTTCTGGTTGAAGGTAAGACCTGCTCTCAATCAAAATCAGTTCCTTCAGATATGAGAAGCACTAACCTCATTCGTTAGCAGTATCCTAACACACCTCTATCAAATACTTGTCTATTGAGGGCCAATAGATGAGGTGGAAGAAAGATGACTATCACATTTCAGCCTGTTGCCAACAAGCCTGTGCTTCCACGTGTTTTTTAACAGACCCATTGGAAGCAGCCTTCAGATCTTTCGGACCACGGATGAGGTGTGCTGAAACATTGTCCACTCAGGATTCGCAGGTCAGACTTTTTGTTACCATGACAGGGGTGTAAGTACACGTACCAGCACAGCCTTTGCTCCAAAATATATGAGCTTTAAGTAGATAAGAGCTAGGAAATCTTGATATAGGAAACACTGATCCTTTTCCTTTTTAGGAGAAGTGCTGTAGGGATGTAGGAGGCTAGAGACGTGCCTTAATCTTTGCAAGTCTGAGTCGCCTGTAACAGAAGCAGATGGGTGTCAAAGATGTAGCTGAATCAAGATGTTCTGAGTTCAAATCAAGATGTTCTGAGTTCAATTCTTTATTCTCCATTTCTCCCGTCTCCTGCTTTGTGGTCACTATTTCTAACAAAGTATTCGCTTCTGCCGTGGCTTTGCTCAGTTATCATTTCTTCATTCCCATCTCCCCTGAGTGTTTACTCAGGGGGAATGTACTCAGGGGGACTAAAGTGTCCTAATCCTCTTCCTTCTCGTGTCTAGAGCCTAAAATCCCCCTTTGTGATGGCCTCTCTTTGCTTTAGTCCCCCTCCCATGCAAAGTGGGGAACAACACCAGGAGAAATCGGAGAGGCACCTGGGTCTCAGCACCCTCATCTGAGTCCACAGCCACGCTGGCTGCTTGCTGTCTCTCAGACCCTGTTCTTTCAGCCCTGCTTGGCCTTCAGTCTATTATTTTCCTTTCCAGGCTCATCAGACCCATTCTTTATCTCTCACTGCCTGCTTTTCTTCCCTCTCCCACAGCACACTCAGACTGCGTTCCTCTCCGCTTGATTTCTGCTTACAAAACTCCCCGATCCCGCTGCCTGCCCTTGAATCGCAGCCTGGTCTGCCTTGGACACCGATGATAAAGATACCAAGGAAAATAAATACCAAAAAATAATAATAATCCATGGTGACTGATTTGGCTTTATCTGTCACACTCAGCAGTGACTTTTGCCCAGCAACTTTCTTCTTGGTGACCCTCCTGTTGTTTTTTTTTTTGTTTTTGTTTTGTTTTGTTTTTTTGTTTTGTTTTGGTTTGGTTGTTGTTTTTTTTTTTTTTTATTATTTTCTTCTTTCTGGAGAGAAAAAAAACACGCAGAGAAGAGGAGAATGATGTCAGTGCTACGACCGGCTGCTAATACACACACTAAACACATCATAAATCACCACAAGCGCTTCTGCTGAAGTACTTTGAGCACTCAGGGCATGGATTTGACCCCCAAAAACCCCTTCTCTCCCTGGGCTCCACACAATGCACAACCCCCAGAGGGGAAGGCTGGGCTCCCACCACCCTTTGGGAACATTTTAACAGGGGGGGGTCAGCCCCAGCTGTGCCATGAGGGCTCCCACAAGGCAACACCCGAGGGGCCCCGAGGCCTCCCAGGGCCGCAGCCAAGGCCGCGGGCCCGCCCGTTGCCATGGCAACCGCGCCCCGTCGCCCAGCGCGCATGCGCGCTTCGAGGGCGGGCGCATGCGCAGTGGGCGGGGGGGGTCCCGACGGTTGCCATGGAGACGGCGTCGCCCTCAGGGGAAGGAGCGCGGCCGCCGCCATGAGCTCGGAGAGGGGCCCGGCGCTGCCCTTCCTGCCGGGCTGCGCCTTCAGGGACCCCACGGTGAGCACAGCCGCCTGGTAGCACGCTTCCCCGGGGCCCCCGGCGTCCGTGCTTCTGCTGCCGTCCTCCTGGGACGCCTCCCCCTTCGACAGAGGCCTGGCCTAGGGGATAAACAGCCCCCCCCCCCCCCCCCCCCCCCCCCCAGGGACCCCCTCAGGGACCCCCTCAGGCCCTGCCCTGGCTCCCTGGCAGCGCTGCTGTCCCCACATCCATCTGCTGTCCCTCCAGGGGACGTGTTACCCCTGCCCTGAGCCCAATCCCAGGGAACCCGCTGTTCCCACAGACCGCCCACTGGTTCCCCCAAGGGATGTGGTGGGTCCCCAGCTCACTGGAGTCCTGTCAATCCGTGCCTGGGGAGCCGGGAAGCCCGCAAATGCATTGGGCACCCTTTGGGGGTACCCACCGAGGTGACTCCCGCTGAGGTGACACCCACCAAGGTGGCACCCAAGGGACCTGGTGCCCTCTGAGCTCCCCTGATGCTGCCCAAGGGACCTAACACCCACCGAACCTCCGTGTCCTAGTGTTTCCCAAAGCCAACAGAGAGCTGCTGATCTCAGTCCTTGGGGGCTGAACTCTCTGACCCCACCTGGTACCCCTGAGGTCGCCCGCAGGAGACCTGGTGCTTCCCGAGTGTCCCCAGTGTGATTTCAAGCCTGTTCCCAAGGAGCTGAGTATCCCTGAGCCCACCCTACAAGGGATTTGGTACTCTTAAACTCATCCCCGAGGAACCCAGTGCGTCTTGCAGCCATCTCATAGCCCCTAAAATTGTCCTGGTAGCTTTGGAGAGTGAGGTTTCCCTTCCCATATCACATTCATGTGATACCCCAAGGGAAGGGGTTCCCCCAAAGTCACTTTATGAACTTGAACCCCCTGGGAAAACTGCTGCTTCTCTGCCCCATCTCAAGACCTCCTACTCACCAGGCACCTGATAACTTCCACAAATGCCTTCTCTGTATCCCCTGGAGAACTTAATCAAACCATAGGGATGCTCAGGAACCCGAGAATCCAATATTCTGTTAGAGAACTGGGATCCCTGCACAGAGCTGATGCCGTCACAGCCCCCAGGATCCTCCCAAGGAAGCAAGACCCACTCAGCTGTGCCCAGGCCCCTTGAATTAATATCTAGGCAATGAAGCAACCTTTCCTTTTCCCCATTCCCAATGGTCCACGCGCTGAGGTTCTGATAACCCCAAACCATCCCGATAACCTCTTGTGAAAGCAGTAGCACAGAAGAAAACTGATACACCCTGGGCTCCTGCCAGTACTGATTTGGAGCAGCTTCCTTCTCCCCAGGGAGCTAATATCTCGAGTCTTGATGCCATTATTCATCTTCAGATGAGAATCCGCTATTCTTGAATTTTCTGGAGTGCCTCCCTCAGAAGCAATGCTCCCAAACTTCAGCAGGGAGCTGATATACCAAGGCATGCCCGACATTCCCCTGGAGCTTAATATCTCTGAGGATGGGCTTAATATCCCATTTCCAGAGAGCTCAGTACTCAAGTGAGGACTATTTGTCCCCTTTTTTGTCCCTTGATCTCTCCCAAGACATTTAAATTCCCTTTTAAATTTAAATTCCCTTTTTAATTCCCATTTAAATGCCCCAGCATGCTCTGATATTGCAGGATGAGGAACCTCATACATAGAAAGCTTTGTCATGGACGTGCTCCACTGAAAAATAAATATATAAAAAAAGGAGGGAGATGCCTGGAGGTGGCACTCCTGGTCCTGCATGCTCCTGTTGAACATCGACCCTTCCAGACTCTGCACTTCAACAGCTTCTGACGCTTCCCTAGGTCGCTTCCCTTCCATCCCCTTGCCACCACAAGGTTATTTCTGGAGGAGTCTGCAGTATTTCCCAGGTGCCCTCATGACAGAAACTTCTATAACTCTTAACTGCTCTCTTTTCTTTCTTCTGCCTGTGTGTGGATTAGCCAGGGACACGCTGTCTCTGTACAGTCCCCGTGGTGCCCTCCAGCACAGTCGAACTGGTTTCTAAGTCAGTGATGAGTTCTTTAACAGTAAGTGGAGTCAGTTACTCGTAACAAACACTCTCAATCAGGCAGCTCTAGAGGTTATCTCTGTGTTATTCGCACGCTTGGGTTGGAAATTTACAGTGCAAATCTCTGCTCCTAGCAAAATATTATTTCCTCTATCGGTAAAATGCTGCCTGCTTTAGTCACGTGAAGGGCTTTGCTGACATCAGCCTGTGGGAAACACCCGCAGGACTTAACAGAGCAGGTAGTTCAACACTTCAGGTTGCTCTGAAATAACAATTTGCAATGTTTTAAGGCTCCAGAAATGGCTTTGCACTGCTCCTCAGGACAAGCCTGAGCGAGTGAAATCAACTCCCTTTGCCAGTCTATAAAATGAGCATCGTGATTCTTGTTTTCCAATGAATTTTTGAGATGTACAGAAGAAAATCTTTGTGTTTGAGTGAGACTGTGGTTAGTTAGAGCTTTGTGTGTGTGTGTCTGTGCACAGAGACACCAGCAGGGGAAGCAGCATTTGTGCGAGGCTTTATATAGACTTAGCCAAGGACTTAATTCAGCGGATTTTCTCAGATAGGGACCGGCAGTGACTGAGATTAGGAGTTTACATTCTGGGCTTTCCCTTTCAAAGTTACGTTGGTTACCTGATACTGCCAGATGCAGGCTGGCCTGGCAACCTGGGAGCCTTATTCATTCACGGGGGGGTTTCTTTAGGCAGCTGTGGCCCTTAAAAGCCCCTCTGCCTCTGACAAACACCTCCGTTGCTCAATTTAAGGCCAAATTTCTTGGTTTTCCCTTGAATGTTTTCCCTACAGCTTTCCCTGCATAAAGGCACTTAGTTACCAAGAGGAAATGGCAATCCTGTGGCAGGACTCATGTTTATAAAGCACTCAGTTACCACCTCTTCAGTAAATTCTCTTGTTTTCCCCCGATCCTGTTTTCCTAACTGCTCTGCCCACAGCATTGTGAGATGCACAGCACCAGTTCGGAGAGAAAAGAGGCAGTTACTTGAAATTCAAGTGGGGCCTGGAAGGTACGAATAAGATTAGAGGCTTAACCATGAGGGGCAGAGAGGGGGAGGAGGAGAAGTAGTTCACGTGCCCGGGGTTCGACAGATTGCACGTCTGGGTCTGGAAAAGGAGCTGAAGAAAATCTAGAAATGCCTGTAGTTCTGTTTTATTTGGCAAAACTCAAGGTAAAGCCAGAGACTTTATTATCAGGGACTCACAGTTTCTCCTGTTTTCCCTGGAACACTGAGTGCTGAAGGCCTGGGAGCAGCCAGCTGTGTGCTGTTTCAGATGGTTTTGGGATTGCAGGTGAGGTTCCAGTTGTGGTCTGTGGGTGGACTCACGTCCGATCTTCATCTTCAGCAGTGAAGAACACGACTGGGCAGGCAGAGATCCCATCGTGTTTTCAGCTCTGATATTCTCTTGTGCATCTGTAAGCAGAGCAGGGACCTCCCTGTGCCATCTGGAGAATGATTTAGCTTCAAGAACAGCTCAGGAGCTGGTGTGAAGTAGGGAGCAAAGACAGGTGAAGGGCTCTTCACCAAGAAGAAACCATCAAAACAAAAAATATCAGGTGAATCCTACAGACAATGTTATTCAGTGCTCACAGACAGAATTCTGTTGGTCTTATCAGGCCTCACAAATCGGCTACAGGGCCTTAAGCTGTGGCTGTGGCTTTTTTCGTGTGTGGACCTTTGCACGGGCTGTGGAGGGATGAGGTAGGTTCGGTGTGTTTCACGACTGCAGTTCTGTGAGCACGACACACCTTGACTCAACGCAGCAAGTAAAATCCTCTGAATATCATCCCCAGGAGAGTTTCGACAAAATATCAACAGAGAACGCAGCAGGTGCACAACCATCCTTGTGTAACAGCCAAGGGAGCACCATGAGGCATAACAGTGGGGTCCCTTGGTGCTCTCTACTGCAGGAACACACAGAAGGGAGCAAAGAGTTAGTGAGGCAAATACTGGGGCAGACAAAGTGCTGTCACCCCATTCTGGACACCAAAGCTTGTGGTAACTGCTGCTTTGTTCCTCCAGTCACTGGTGTTTTGTTTTTTTTTTTCAGCCTTTTTAATCTAAGCATAAAATTTGATTGTAATTCACTGCTGCAGTAGGTTATAATAAAACGCCGTGGAGGCATTCTGGGTGTCCGACTCGTACTGTTTCTCTGTGCTTTCAGTAGCCGTCTCTGCTGAGTGCGTGTAGTGTTTTAACATCTGGTTTTTCTTCCCCAGAAAACATCCTTTCATCGCTCGCAGACCCTGGGCTACAAAAATGGCTTTGCCTTTTCCCGGCTGCCTACAGTGGGGATCGGCGGGGAGCGACTGTACGTGAATCAGCTTTCGCAGGCTGAATTAGATGAATTATCCAACATGAGACCCACGCTGACCTACGGGCAAGCCAGGCAGGCTCCTCCTTCGGGCTTCATTCCAGCGCACGTGGCTTTTGACAAAAAGGTAGAAAGAAGCTTATTCCAGGAATATCAGCTGGCCGAGCTCGGAGACATAAACAGTCAGCTCCAGGGTTCATGGGACAGCGTACAGCAGTTTTCAGATGCCATTGCCCTTAGTCAGAGACAGCTGAACCCCAGTCTGAAAGAGGCTTTCTTTGCTCAGGAGGAGGATTATAATACGTACACGATGTAAGACATTCCCCACGAGTTACGCCGGAGCATTTCCAGCAGGAGTTTGAAAAGAAGTTTGATTAACTCTGAAAAGCTTCCGTTTATACCCGTTGCTCTGTAAAAGCCAGCCTGCCCTTCTGCATTTCCAGAGCTATATTGAGGTTGTAACCGGGCTTAGACTGTAAAAGTCACTCTGCAGTGGAGTGCTCGCATACTGTCTGGCTGTGGTCTATCTATTTATGCTCGTGCTTGTCACCGCAGCGTGTTAGAGCCTGCACTGCCCCGTTAGTACTTCCTGCATTGCATCCTGGTGATCCTATCAGCCTAGGAGGTGGCTGTGTGTCTGCCCGGAGCAGTCCTGAGCTGACCCTCGATTTTCAACGTTGCTCAGGCTGCACGAGGGCGTGTGCAGCCCCAGGCAGAGCAGTCCCTGCAGAGTGTGCAGGGCTCAGCAGTCCTGAGCACACCCCAGGAGTTGCACGCTGCCAGGCAGCCTGCAGCCAACCCTCAGCCCATCTGTGAGACAGCCTGGGGAACAGATGTGCTGTGTTAATTACTGCTTCAGAGGCCATTCTTTCAGAGTCACGTAGATGTTGCCATTTAATCTGTCAGACACTTCACGGCCCCTTCATTCAGGCCAGAGGAGCAGCCACTTGCTTACCTAGCTCTGTGGGCTGACGTAGGCTGGGTGTGCAAGGCTTGATTAGCCACCTACGTCCTCTTAGGGGCAGTGAATGTGCTTGGAGGGAATACTTGTGCTTCTTTCACGCACAGGAACTCTGAGCGACTGGCTTTTGGCAGGGTATGCAGCATACATTTTCTCTGGGCCCTGATTTCTCTCCTTGTTTCTCCAGCACACACTGGCTCTTCATGGATATGAGTTCCTGAGCCATGCAGCTCCTAAGGTCCACAGATGTGGTGGAGCTCAACTAAAAATCACCAGGTAGCTTTGTAGACCCTGGTTTAAGGAGGCTGACTATTAAAGAAAGTCAGGTGTGTTAGTAAACGAGATTACTGGCAGCAACCAAGCACCTGGCAGGAGGTAAAATAGCAGGTGATCAAAGGAACAGGGAAAGGACTGCATTTATTACAAGTGTCTCATGCATACCAAACCAATAAAAGGCAAACGCTGATAAAATCCCTCATGATGCCTCCACCATTAGTCACAGATTAGGCTACAGTAGGCTCTGATGATTTTATAGATTACAGTCCAGTAATTTTGAACTATCAAAGCACATTACAAATAAGCTATTTGGACTAATGATGATGTTCAAGTTGTTTCTTTCTCTCTCCCTTCGGGACGTTGTCCCAAACAACAGATTTTGAAGTTCGATGCCTATTTCCAGGAAGATGTTCCTCTCTCTACAGAAGAGCATTACCGTGTTCGCCAAGTGGGTATCTATTACTATCTGGAAGACGACAGCATATGTGTCATAGAGCCGGTTGTGAAGAACTCTGGTATCCCTCAAGGCAAACTTATCAGACGCCATCGCGTGCCCAAGAATGACCGTGGGGAGCATTACCACTGGAAGGACCTGAATCGAGGCATGGACATCACCATGTATGGCAGGACGTACCACATAGTCGACTGTGACCCGTTCACCCAGGTGTGTTGCTGATACAGAGAATACTGACACGAAGAACCCCAGGAGTTACAGGTGGCAAGAGCTGTTAGAGTCCCAGTAGCCTGCACCTGCAGCTTTCACGCTGAGGTTGCTTGAGATCTTTCATTTTATGTTCTGTGGAGACTTCTTTCCGTAGATCAATAGGTAGTTCGGGGTATGATACTTGCTGAGGGCACAATAACTGCTCAGTATTTTTGCCCCAGGGCTGCTTTGACTCCATGCTCTATCCTCTAGATACGATACAGCAAAAACTCAAAGCTCATTTCTGTGTTAGCAGGATTGGTCTGAGTTCATTTCTCTGTGTACAACAGTTTAACTGCTTGGAGTCCTAATGAACCATTTTGCATATATGAAAGGGAAATTACTGATCTTAGCTCTTTTCCAGCTTCATACTCCTTTGGTAAGAACAGGGCAAGGGAATGCTCTTAGTAACTCTGTGTTTATCTACAGCCAGCCCAGAAGAGCACTCATGGTCAGTGGATTGAGAATCGTGGTACAAACTGACCTAAGAGTGCTTACTCATTGCTTACTTTTCTATTTCAGGCTATTTCTGTACTAGTAAATTAAATAATAACAATGCATTAACAAAAACAACAAATACCAATGTACTGGTATACTCTTAGTTTGTCCCCAGTGTAATCTGGGTCCTGGCTAACCACTGCTCTTCCAAGCACTTCCAAGGAACAATCCAGGAGTTAGAATGCTCCGGGGACCATTCTCAATAGATGAATTGCGTGCAGCCAGCTCATCGCGGAGGCTGAGAGAGTTTAGATGAGGGTTATTCCTTGCCAGTTGGCCTCAGTGCCCAGGAATGTTCCCAATTGTGTGTAATATATTAATATATATCTGTCAGGAGCATGTGGGGCCTACTCTGCTGGAGCTGGATGGCCGTTAAAGTCAGTTGACATCAGATGAAGAGCTGGCTCACCTGTTAATCTTGGTTGCTTGATGGAAAACATGCAATGAGCTACGTGGGTCTACTTCTCAAGGTCTCTGGTCAATTTTATCATTAATTGGCATCCTCTAGACCAGAAGAGTCTGAAAATGTGAACCTGCCTTGTGAGTTTTCAGGGTGATCTCACAAGTCTGTTGGGGATGTTTGCACAGGTGCTTTCTGGGTTGAATATTTTCACGGGCCACTTCCCAAAGCCAAACAGGGAAGAAGGCCAGTGACTTCAGAGGTTGTTTTAAGTGACAGAGGTGAGTGCACAAGCAAGGCCCTAGAGTTTGTTTATGCATCCAAGCCAAAAATCCCTTTATAAACAAACAGATTGTTCTCCTTCTGTAGGAAAAGTGCTCCTCCTGGAAGAGGAGCTAAAGCTGTTACTCTGGACACACATCTTCCTGGCCACAGGGGCCACTGGTATGGGTTGCACTAACTTCCATTGTCTGATGGAATGGAGAACCCTGGGTCTTTTGCAAATTCAGACTGACTACATCCATGGTTATGCATTAACTTAATCTTTTTGTTTTACATAAAAGAGACCAACCCAACTGTTATCCTCTATTTAAAGCCCCAAGGCCAAGGAAGATGGTGCTTGAGTAAAAACTGACTTAGGACGTTGAGGGCAGGACTGCCCTGAGTGATGAAAATGCAATCAAAGTCACCTATTGCTAGTCACCTCATATCATCAGAACTCGTGGCAGCAACTAATACCTTAGATGACTTTCCTAGGCGTTCCTGGAGAGCCAAGGAATTGAACTGAACCAGCCAGAGAAAATGGTGTTTGATCCTTACACGGAAATGCGTCGGATGCCCCTGCGCATGTACATCACACCATCAGACTTTGACCAACTGAAGCAGTTTCTGACTTACGACAAGCAGGTGAGTGAGCTGGCAGCAATTACCCAAGTTATAGTCTACATGTGTCATAGAAACATGGAAACTTGGGTCTTATGAGTGCCTGCAACTTTAATCATTTTAAAAAACTCCAGTCCACTGCACAGACTCCAAATTTGCTCCTTTCTTGGTGTTAGCGAGAAACAAAATCTTTTTTTTTTGCTCAGCTTTGTGCCTTGTGAACAGTTTCTCTTTGGACTGCAGAGCCCATTCTCCAGATCCTTCATCTCTTTCTTGCTTTCTTTTGGGATGCGGTAAGCCACCTGCCTTGGGAAGTTAGCAGACAGGAGCAGATGCAGTTCTAATATGAACAGGGATGATGCAGTCACGCCTGGGCCAGCTCTGGTTGTGACAGCTTTTGGGTTGTGTGTTTAGGAGCTGCACCTTGGGGAACTTTTGAGCTGGTCCACTGAGTGCAGCGCTCCCAAAGCAGTGCCTGCCACTTGGATTTGTTAGATTGCCATTAGGTCAACATGATCCCACAAAGCCAAGCGGGCGTTGCACCAGTAGGCAATGGACTTGGAAGCCCTGCAGTATGAGGTGTTTGACTTCTGTGGCATTAAAGCATATTTCCAATAGTAAGAAATTAGATGGGGTTTATAGTGAATGCAGTCTCCTTAGGACAGCTCCATACATTCCCCTCTGCCTTGTTCATCATGAAAATGGTAAAGAATTGGCCATGAAACCTCAAAGAGGTGTAAGAGTCAAAATGATAATTATATCCCACTTTGTTAAGTTTCATTAGAAAAATCACCTCCATTAAGAGGACTTCTCTACTCACCTCGGGTAATTATTTTCTGCTAGTTTTTAATCACTTTTTCCCCCATTTTTCCTCACACTTCCTGAACTAAATTTCTTGCCTTAGCCCATATTGTTCTTTCTCATGGCTGCATTCAAGGTAAGCCAGGCCTGTTCAGCTCTCCAGGCTCCTGATGCTCTTCCCTCTGCTGCCTCAGGAGCTCAAGCATCCCAGTGCCCACAGTACAACAAGGGCTTGGTTCTTCTGTTCCTGGCAGAGAAGAGTGCTGAGTCCAATCACCTCATCCATTCCAATCAACTTAATTTGGACAAAGTGCTAGTAATTCTAACCCATGTTTGTTTTTCGTGCCCCAGGTCCTTCGCTTCTATGCCATGTGGGATGACACCAACAGCATGTTTGGTGAGAATCGGCCTTACATCATACATTACTACTTGGCAGATGACACGGTGGAGGTTCGGGAGGTCCACAAGCCCAACGATGGCAGAGACCCATTCCCAGTACTGATAAAACGCCAACGCTTGCCCAAAACCTTTGTGGAGAAGCAAAGTAAGTTTAGACCAGCTGGCACATCTGCTTGTGCTAAAGTGGGTGGGTGGGTGTAGGTATGGAGGCTGTGTCAGAGATACAAGTCTGTAGCATCTGTGATGAGAACACTGCAAGTGTCATCAGCTTTCGGCCAAAGAAAAGTTCTTTTGATGATCACTCGAGTCTTTATCTTTGGGGAAGCAGAACAATACCAGCAGCTCCCTGAATATTTTTATACAACTTGCTTCTGTATCCCTTTTTGCAATGAAATATTAACATCTACCTGATTGATTTATTTTTCTTTTTGCTCCCTTGTGCTTTAGAGACCTTCCCAAGCTGTGTGCTGGAAATCTCTGATCAGGAGGTACTTGAGTGGTACACAGCTAAAGATTTTGCTGTTGGCAAATCCACCACCCTCCTTGGACGCAATTTCTTCATCTATGATTGCGACGAGTTCACACGCAACTTCTATCGTGACAAATTTGGCATCACAGACTTCCAGCCAGTGGAGATAAAGGAGAAACCACCTGAGGAAGTGCCCCAGGTACTGTAAACAATTTCCCAAAGGAAGGGAGGGAAAGCTGCAGTGCGTGTAAGCTCTGGTTGTAAAGTGTAGGTTCAGCTTAGCAAGAGCTTGTAAAGAGGTTCAGCATAAAGGAAAGCTGTAAGAAAGTACCTTGAGGAAGACAAGGCAAGGATGGTCATAATTCATATAAAAGGGAAAGCCCTCTGAAATTGTCAATTTTGAATACTGTAAAGGACAGCCCACTTGCTAATGGTGATACAAAGCACTCTGCTTGTGTCTATACTAGAAAATTAAATAATGTCAGGGTTTGTTTCCTGACTGGGAAGCTAACTGGCACAGTCTGGCTGCACTCATACCACTAAACTCTCCCTCATTCTCCAAAAAAGGGTTGCTAAGTCCAAAGTGCTTGCTGGGGATAGTCATTGCCCATGTTATCTCCCAGACTGCGCCCAGGAATAGTGCGGAGTGTTAGCTGGCCTAGCCCACAAACCTGATGGGGCTTTGATTAGCAGAGATTAGCAGTGTAACCATTATATTACATTAGCAGTGTAACCATTACCTTCCTGTCCTCTGCACAGGAAGGGTTAAGTTATCAGCATACCATTAGTCTCTTTATTCAAAGAAATTACCTGGCTTTCTGACTAAGATTTTCTTAGCTCTCTTAAGTGTTTCTATAAATAAGGAGTCCAACACATGTTTGGGCTAGTAGCCTCTTTACTGGGCAGGGTGGCACAGCTCTTGCCACTTGGTGACAGAAGAGGTCTTTCCCAACAGATGGTTTCTGATAAGCTGTCTTGCAAACATTGTCTTGTTCTTAGTTTCAGCTGTTTCTGCTTGGTTCTTGTTCTTAGTTTCAGCTGTTTCTGCTTGGTATCTCCTCTGGCTGCAGGTAATTCCTCCCTATAATGGTTACGGCTTCCTTGAAGACTCTCTTCAGAACTGCTTTTCTCTGTTTCCGAAGCCTCCCCGGAAAGATATAATTAAGATGCTAGAGAACGACCACAAAGTGCTACGATACCAGGTGGCCCTGGTAAGAGTTTTCCTTGATGATATAGTGGTTACATCAGGTCATGTTTTAGAGTCAGAAGGATGGGAAAAACAGGCTGCTCAGACAAGGCTGCTAGCAAATTTTCTTCTGTGCTGGTGGGACAAGAGATTTCCCCAAGCCAACGCTCGTGACCCTTAGGGGATGCCCCTGGGTTACTGTGTGCTTGCTGGGACAATTAGAAGCACGCAAAGGTAGGAAAAAAAAACAAGGCCAGGCAGTGCAAAACAGACGTGCTACAAAACCACAGCCATTTATGGAAAAACTCCCACTGACATCAGCACGTGACAGATGGCCCTAATTGAAACTGCATTGCAACTGGGCACCGTGCCTCTGCCTGCCTCCAACTGCTGCCAGAAGCGTGAGCTTGCTGTCTCTCTGCTGCTGGCTCTCAGCACCTGCCCTTCCCCAGGCCAGTCCCAGCTGCAGCAGCCAGCAAGGGGCTGTGCAAGCAGAGCAGCAAAGTGCTGGAGCAGAAGCTGGGGACAGAGCACAGGGACAGCACTTTCCAAAACCCACGGCATTCAGGCCTTTGCCTTTCTGCCAGCTTTGCAGCTGGTTTATGCAAGGAACCTCTGGCACGTCCAGCAGCAGCAATGGCATTTCCTGTGCTGCCTGGTGCCTGCCCTCTCCAAACACTCAGGGTGAATAAGGGCTGATTTCTTTTCCCTTTTGTGCAGGAGTTCCTAAAGGTCACAGCTGACGAGTTAAGATGAACTTACTTTTAAGCTAAGCAAGTAAACCCACTGGTGTGTCAGGGGAGTGTCTTCCTGTGAGTAAGAGCACCAAGCAGCACCGGCCCCTCTCAGGCAACCATTAGAATGAAAAATACAACTTCAATAGTAATCTTTACAGCTGGAATTCCTCTGAGTGATGAGTCATTCCATATAGGATATTCCTTTCTCTTGGATTACTCAGTCTGGAAACACTGAATGCGTTTGGTCACTGCATCCCAAATTCTGCTTGTTAGCCCGACTAGAACAAGCAACCTTTGAAATTCAGGTATTTAATACTGTCCAGGGCTTTGTTACCCAGTGTTAGTGCATCTGCAGCTTTTGCCTACATCAACTGCCTTGTTTAGTCAGCTAGAAAAAAAGCTATGAAGTCTGGGTGCTTATTACTAGTAGGTTACATGGTAGTCCTGAGCTCCTCAGCAAAAAAGAAACCTGGTTCAAATGTTCTTTTCCAAAGCCACTCCCTTTCTTCTAGGAGTCACCAAACCCCGAGGACAGGAAGCGTCGTTTCATCCTCTCTTATTTCCTCTCCGATGACATGATCAGCATCTACGAGCCCCCAGTCCGTAACTCTGGCATCATTGGGGGCAAGTACTTAGGAAAGACCAGGATTGCCAAACCAGGCTCTACAACAGACAATGCCATCTACTACGGGCCCTCTGACTTCACCATAGGTTCTACGATTGAAGGTAAGACCCAGCCTGGCTTAGGAATGCTCTAAGCATTGGTTTTCAGTGCCTGACCTGTCATCTGTGGCACAGACAGTGCATTTGCCTTCCTGCATTTGAGAGATTTGCTCCTTCTGGATCTGGTTGCATTGAGTTTCCAGGTCACCAGCTGGTGTGACTGGATATAACTCTGCTCCTGTCACTGTTTGGACCTTAGACATAATTAGGAAAAGGGATATGTTCTTCATTGTAGGTGTTCATGTTTTGGGAGCTGCCAGGATTCACAGGGTTAAAGCTCTGCCGGTAACTTTGTTACTACGGCCAGTAACAAAGGCCATTAAACTATCCTGTGTGGAAAATAAATGTAATACTGAAATGTTAGAAACACACTGGTGCTAATGGGGGAGTCATTTTAAGCCCAGGCATGGGGTCTTTGCTTTCAGCAGCTGCTCTTGCGACAAAATTCCCTCTGGGTGAGTGAAACCCTTCACACTCTAAGGATTGCAACAAATAGCCCAGTCAGCTCTGACCCTAACCGCAGGGGAGAAAACATGCTCCCTCCTAGCTGATGAAGTGACTTACCCATGCTGAAAGGCAGGTAGCACTGCTTGCTTTAATGCCTCTTCCACAGTGTTTGGCCACAGGTTTGTTATCACTGATGCTGATGAATACGTGCTTAATTACATGGAGAGCAACGCAGAGCGCTTCCCTGCAGCAACCCTGCAGTCCCTGAGGGATCATCTTCGCCCACAGCAGGTGGTGGAGGAGACTGCCAAAAGGTAGGCTTCAAAGGATGGTGTTGTGGAGCTAAATGAGACTTGGGGCTGACAATGAAGGGGATTTCCAGCAGCCTCCATGGGCTCCAGCCTGCTGTCTAATGGCTACTCAGCTGATTATTCAGCTCCAAGATCTCGTGTTTGAACACATACAGGGGGTATGAGGTGTGTACAATATAATGTCACTGCTGCCACTGTCCCCAAAACCTTGTGGGGCAGTTCTGGCTCAGCAGAAGAGACACCTTCAGCTAAATGGATGCAGTCACCTTTTTCCAGAAGGGAGCAGTAATCTGTAATAGGTGCTGCTAACGCTGTCTGTGGGCTCAGAGGAGGGTCGGTGGAGTCTTTTTTTTTGTTTGCTCTGGCCTTTCAGAGCCTAGACCACATACCCTTTTTAGGTGTCTGTCTGGATCCATTTTAGGTGACCTAGTAACAATCCTATAACCTCACAAAGAGTCAGCTCATAGCATGGTATTTCAGAAGATCTGCTTGAAACTGGAGTTGCACTGCAATTCCTCAGACTGTATGAAGTATACAAGAAAACCCTCCTTATCCCAAAGTAATTGCAGACAAAGGGTTTACAAAGCAAATGCCATGCAGATGGTAAAACATGTTTACCTAATGTCCAAGATGAAGACTAAGCTTTGTGTCTCAGTCCAAGCTGAGATGAGCTTGCCATATAAACCAAGCACCCCAGAAGCCTGCTGTGTATTCAGAAATAGAGCCTGGCCAGCCATGGTGGGCAGCCAGCACAGAAGCATCACAGCAGGGCTGCTAGAAATAGCTATTACATGAAATCCTCTTCTCCCTTTCCTTCTACAGTGATGTCCCTGCACTCGGGACCAGCCAGCAGGAACTGGATGAATTAATTGTGCGGGTTCAGGAGGAGCTGAAGCTCCATAATTACTTGAACAACAGCAGCATCCGGGAGGCGCTTCTTCGGTGTGACAAGGATGGCTCTGGTGTCCTCGACAAAGCAAAATTTTTATCCCTTTGCAACAGCCTAAGCGTGCCGACCAATGCCGTTCTGGTTAACAAGGTTAGAAGGAAGGGGTGCTGTGCATGTTGAATTCCCCTCTTGTGGGTGTTCCAAAAGAGCTCTTCCACAAACCAGCCCAACCAGGCTAGGCCAACAGCTATTCTATCCTACAAAGGGGAACAGCTTCAAGAACGGGGTGAGATTCAGAAAGGCCTCTGAGCTGCTGGACTGAGCCTTTCTTCTCTTAGAGGATGAGATAATGATTAATGTCTGCTAAATAAAGGGAAGAAATGTAACCCAGGTTGCCCCCAACATAAGCAGCCTAGTTTTCAGCTGCACTGTTACGTGAAGCTGAAGGTGCCTGCTGGGTCAGGTTTCGGATAGAAGATGACGAGGAGGTTGTAAATCATGATGGAGATGAGGAATAGGCTACTGCAGAGCTCCTGAGTGTCTGTCCTGACTTAAGCACGCCTGGGCCTGAGAGGAGTTGACACTGAGGTGCTTGGGGGCTCAGCCTCAGGAAAGCACAGACACATTGTGAATTTAGAGCAGCTGAATTGAATATTCCAGAATTAAGCGTAGTACAAAAAAAATAAATAGTAATAATCATATCCATTACTAATCCTTTCCACATTCAGCTGGCATCCTGACCCTTCTGAGTGAAGTCAGCCTGAGATCCTTTTTTTTTTTTCAGTTTATAACGTTTGTGCCCATTTGTCACTGAAGTTCAGCAAGCCCACAGCTCACACAGCAACCCAGCTTCCTCTGCTGCCCATAGCTCAGGCCACCTGTGGCCGGTTGGTTAACCCAACTGAAACAGACTTGCAGGGCACAATGAGCAAAAACAGGGAAGAAACTAAAGATTCTTGCAGAGAGGAGGGAGAACGCTTCCAGGAACATGACTGGCAAGGATCCGTGCTTAGCATAAGGAGATATACAATAGATTAAGGGCCAGGAAAGGCAGTCTCGTGCTTTAAGGAAGCCTAGAAACCAGAGAGAGTATTTCCCTTGCTAAAAAAACATGTTCTAACCCACAGATGTGAGCATCACAGCCGTGGTTAGAAAGGTGCACAGGCAGGGTAATTAATTCTCTGAATGTGCAGCGAGTAAAGGCCTTTAACCAGTGCCCTGAGGAATCTAAGGTACAAGGTGGTGACCACCCTTCCTTCTCACGCGCAGGGAGCCTGCGACAACTGAGGCTCAAACCCTGTGTCTGAATCCCCACCTAGGACCCGAACACTAAAAGCATTCCTTTCCTCTCTCCTGAAATCTTAATAAGAACGTGCCCACAGCCCCTGGGACTGTGGCGGCGCGATAAATTAAGCATACGGCAGATAGTTAACTACTGTCTGGCCCAGAGAGGAGCACAGCTGTCAGTCACACAAGAACAACACTAGTAAATCTGTCTCCAGGCGACAAGGGGAAGAAGAATCCTTTCAAGGAACTGTGATATTAGACCTTTTCCATCTCCCTGGGTGTCAGAAGGAGATTAGTTATGCAATTAAAGAAACAAAAGCCCTCTTTCTTCCCCGTAAGCATACAAAGGCTATAGCTCTGTAACACAATGCAGGGTCAGGCGTGGATACCAGAACTGGCTCATTAGCAGGGCTGTCACCGAGCTCAATTATCTGTGTCTCCACTTTATGCCGTGTGCACACAGCAAGCGACATCACTGAACAGTGACCGTTCGGATATGCTGCCTCCATCACGCTTTTGGCAGGAATTTCTATGGGGTTTCTGAAGGATTTGCTGTGACCTGTGCCAGTCTGTGGTCACACTTGATTTTCCGTGGCTCCGTTGTCACTGTGGTGACACTTAGAGGGCAATCAGGAGTAAACTCACATGCTTTAAGCTCTTGTCCCTGCATAGGTCAGCCATCAGTACTCGAGGTTACCTGGGATGCAGGTCTACTGACGTAGGAAGCTCTTCCACACTGGGGAATGAGATCTTCTGCTCTGTCACATAAGGTGTACCTCTGGATACTTCTCCCTAAAAAAATACATGTTTGCAGCTTCTTCCAACTCTTTACGCTGTTGCTTTTTTTTCCCCCCAGCTGATTGACCTGTGTTCTTGTGGAGAAGACAAGATAAACTACCGTGACTTCCTCAGAGCCTTCCCCTCGTGAAGCTGAAGCACAAGACCAGCAGTAATATCCTTAGCTGAGCTGACTGGACATCATACTTCAAAAAGGATGCTCTAGTTTTCACCTTTGCTTCACTCACCCTTCCCTCCTTACTAATTTCACCCTGGCTTGGTTAACTTTTTCCTTTCCCAACCTTTCCCTGCCCTTTTTGCTACCACCAAACTCAACCTCTGAACTGCTGGATATTGCAATGAAACTCACAGGAAAAAAAAGTTTTGGAGAACCAAAAGCCAGGTTCTTCTGTTGTCCTCACAACTTTTAAATGCTTGAACTAGCAAGTAAGGCTTGCTAGAGCAAAAGAGCTCTGAAACCTGGAGTGATGAGCACTCTGCATTTCTCTTAGAGTTGAAAGGTGCCTTTCACCTTCAAGCACTAACGACTGCCAGTTTAATTTTTTATTTGCATTACAATAAGACCCAAGAGCCCTGCCACGGACCACAATAAACACGTGCTTGTAAGTCTGAATGTAAGCAAGTCATGTATGGCTGCTATAGTGTTAACAAGTCCCCTTAAAATAAATGTACCTCAGTGCCTGGAGTAGCTAAGGATTAAAATGAGAAAAAAAAAATACCACCACAAAAACAATTCTGATTCTGGATTTACTTGAAATGGAGTAGTGCTTTAGCTCTCACATATCTCATGGAAATTGCAGGGTTTGTACACAGATCCGCTGACAGCAGCTTTGCATTTTTTAACAAAGGTTGGGAGAATGGCTTTCGAACCGAGATGCTGTCTAAACCCATCTCAGGCAATCTGTCAGCTTACAGGCTGGGTCCAATGAAAAGGAAAAACTTAACAGTTGGCATAGCAATAGAGCTCTGACACTTTCGCTCAGATTGCTCATCTCTTCGTGAAGGTAAACGGGGCAGGAGCCTTCTCAGCCCCGATGACACCTGCCAGGTACTGCCGTTGAGCACAGATGAGGGGCAGCTATCACGCAGGCAGCAGAGAACAAAGCTCTTTGGAACGAAGTGCTTATTTAAATCAGCTTTTGTGCTGTGGATTCCCACTTCCCCTCAGCCAGCTGAATCTCCACACGACGGCTCCCTCCTGCCTCCCCTTGTTCAGAAAGGTCACCGCTCTTCCCTTCTGGGCCCGTTTTGTGCTGCTCTTCACTCCGACCGAGAGTCACTCAAGCTATCTCAGGTCCACCTCTGATTTCAAAGCACGCCTTGGCGTTGCACGAGGTGCCTTCCAAGCACCAGTTGACAAAGGCTAACTTCTAAAGGGCACCCTAATCAGCTTTGCCAGAGGCCAAAAACTTATAGATGAAATTACTGGAGCTGTGGGCCGTAGAAAAGAAAGTCAGAATTTGTTTCCTCTACATGCTATGAAACGGTAACCTAATACTCAACCAAATCGTGTATCATGCCCAGGGCCAGCTGCGGAAAGTATACAATTTAGCTCACCAGAAAGCATGCACCAAAGCCACATCAAATAAATCATATCCCCCAAATGCTCTTATCCTCTACTCCCAGCGAGCGAGGCAGCCACAGATAACTAACTCAGAAGCAGCTGCCTATGACACGGAAAATTCAGGAATGGGAGCCGCAGCTGTGGGGAATCTGAGGGCAATGGATGCCACAGCAAAGGGAACAGACTCGTCTAGCACGGCAGGAGGAGGAGAAGTACAACCCACCCCAGCCTGCTCTGTGAAACCGTACAACTCAGCACCGCGATAAAGCATCGGTGAACAGCAGCAGTGGAGGAATCTATGCCTTTTATTTATTTATTTCAGAAAATACTTTTGTTGAGTTTATCACAAAAGTCATTTAACAACAAACGTCAACAAACAAACAAACAAAACGTACAAAAAAATTTGAAGTGACAGGAAGGATGAAACAAATGAGATAAAATATCGGAGGCGGTCACTTCCCCCCCCCCCCAGCCCCCTCCAAAATCAGGAACTTTTTGCACTAAATATGGAAGAACAGAATTTTTCCTTGGGTTCCTTTGCTGAAGTTTGGTCCGTGGAGCCCAATGTGTCCAAGGAAAAGCTTTGTGCCTCCGCCTGGCGTTTACAACAACCCACTGCCAGCAACCACTGCCCCGGGCCCCGAGGCTAAGTAACATACTTCACAGTTTGAGTGTCGAGCCTGCCAAACTGTCTACAGCACGCTCCTAAAGCTTACAGGAAGGCTGTAAATCACAGCCCAGAATCTCCACCTCCTGTTGATGCACGTCGGGGTCCATCTACCAAGAGTTCATCCGAGGCAAGAGGCAGGTGCTGCCATAAATCCCCACGGACTGCAACAGAGCCGGGGTACCTACAGGCTTCCGAGTAACTTGGGGTCAGGGGAAGGCATCCTAGAGCAGTCCTTCTCCCCTCCAGCAGGGAAGCCTACCAAAAATACATCTTCAAACAGTGAGTTAAGGGCAAGGGGACCTACGGGGAAACTGGAACTTGTTTTCTTTACCACTAACCCCAAAATGAGTAAGAAGAAAGAATCCTAAACAAAAACAACATAACCGTAATGCCCCATAATGTAAGAGTCACTCAGACATTGTAAGTGAAATGCTACATCTGTTCTTCCTCAACCCCCTTCTCTTCCCAAGCCCATTACCCCAGCTATCTAAGACAAGAAGAGAGAACTACTGTCGGGTTTTTTCAAAAGCTTTCCTAGGCTAGGGCAGGAAAACCAAAAATCACACCAAAAATCACAGAGTACTCAGTCCCCGACCTTAGGTCTGTAATGGACACAGACTACAAAAGCAGTCTGATGCCCGCAGGAAGGGTGCAGAGCAAGCAAAAGCGTTACACCAGGAGTAGGAACTTGCAAGTTTTGGGTAGTCTCTACCAGTTTCCACGCTGCGGCAGACAAGAGCTCCTGTTTGGGGTTGGGTTTGTTGGGTTTTCTTTTTTATTGCAGAAGACACGGGGCTGGACTGGATGGGGCGCAAGAAGAGCATCCGCTCAGTGAAAGGGGGCTCTCAGCATCTCTACACAAAGCAGTCGAGGACTGCTAAGGGCTTGCAATGGAAATTCCCCATCTGGGGGAAGAAATAGCTTTTTGGGCTGAGAAGAAGGCTTGGTCTGCTGAGAAATGCCGTGGACACAGAGGAGCTGCTGCAGGCTCGCAGCCCGGGGATGGTGTTTGCACTACAAGACGGAGACAGAAGCAGACAGACTGGAAACCTCTGGGACGAGGGTGAGTGCTGCCTCGCAGCAAAGGCTCAGCACAGAAAAACAACGAGGTCATGCCACGCTCAGGCACAACAAGAGATTTCAGAAGAGACTAAAGATGGGAGGGAAAAAAACAACAACAACAAACAACCAACAACAAACATCAGCTCTAGGTTTAAAAAACCAACCCAACCCGAAATAAGCAACATGGAAATGTTTCCAAACCAAACTGTCCCTTGTACTGGTAGCTCTATGAAAAAAAAGACAACATAAAAAACCAACAAACAAACAAAAATACACGGATGTGGCTTATGCTGTACAGAAGTCGTAGAGAGGGAAGGCTTTCGGGTACACAGCACACGGATCTAGCGCAGGAGGCTACCTGGCAACGTAAGGCACTTGGGATACAACACACAAGTAGTGACTTTGTGGAGACGCAGGGTTGTGCAAGTGGGAAAGCTGCCTGAAGCGAAGCAGGCAGGAGGAGGAATCATTCAGCAGCCAGTTTTTTGGGGGATTGTTTGTGTCAGTTGTTAACAGCCAGTGCCCCAGCACTGGCTCCGGAGACGCTGGCCACCGGGTGCTCCTGGAGGGCACGTGTCAGCGGGTGGCTGGGGAAGGAGGAGGCAGTGGAAAGGAAAAGCGTCTCGCACCAGACCTTTTCCCCCATATTTTCTCACATGAAGCTCTTTCCCTGCCCTCTCATCACGTTGCACTGCCTCTGTTTGAGCCAAATGGTGAATTATCTGCCCAGCAAGGACTACGAGGAGCAACTGCAAGGTGCCATCAAGGGCTCTGCTCCAAAGTCTCCTTCCTCAGTTCTCCTGAAAAAGGGGGAGGGAATCCTTCCCCTAGAATCCTGCTGGTATCTTGTTTGACACCCAGAAGTCACAGAGACGGAGGAACAAGCGGAATTTGACCGACTATACTCATGTCCCTACGTATTTTCTCCCTCTGGTGCCCAGCATTAGCTGAGGCTCAACACGGAGAGGAGGAGGAAAGGAAAAAAGACACCTACAAAAAGAGGGGGAGAAAAAACACAACTCGAAGTGTGGCAGAGAACCAACTGTCTCCCATTCCCCAAAACAGGGATGGAATAAAAAAGGTATGAAAGACAACTGTGCCAGCCTCACTGCACGAGAGCCCAAGCTCGAATCACGCTCGGATTCAGCTCAGCCACCTGCAGGGCTGAGCGAGGGACACGCCACGAGACCACGCATCCCCCCTGCCCACGAGGAAGGTGGGCTTCGATCCCGACTTGCACACCAAAGGCTTCCCAGCCTCTCCCCGACCCCGCGCACCGCTCGCCTGCTCCTGCCGTAGCGACGCAGAGCGAAGCCTACAGCCGGCTTTGCTGCACAAAAGGCACCAACAGCAAAGCCCGGCTACAGAAGCATCCCCGGAGGAGAGCTACGGGGTGAGAGGTGCCCCTTCAGCGCCCACCTGCCCAATCCAGGCTGGTGCATGGCACCCAGAGAAGCCCGGTGCCCCGTGAAACCCCGGGCAGAAGATGCTGCCCACCGGCAAAGAGGCAGCAGGGGACCGAGCCGGTGGGATTTGGGCTTCTCCTGCCAAGACGTACGGGTGGCAGCGGGCAGGAGCAAGAGGGAAGAGTGGTCTGCAGCCACAGCTGGCCTCTGAGGTAGGTTTGAGACAACTCCATCTGCCCACAGGTCAGGCCTTTCCTACTGCACGAGCTGCTCCTTGCAGCCGCCCTTCCATCCCCTTCCACGTCACCTCATTCACAGCTCAGAAAGGGACGAAGGGGGTAGGTATTTTTTGGAAGAAACCCTGCATTTGATAGCACCTTGGGTGGATACAGGCCGTGTATCCTTCAGAAACAAAGAGAAGCTGGTGGCTGCAGGTGGCACGGCCGGACCGGTACGAAAGGGACGAGGAAGGCTACGGCGATAGCACGAGGGGCACAGTCCCATAAACGCAAAACCCCCTTGCAGCAGCCAGTTTGCTCAGCTGGACGTGGTTACGAGCCATGAGAACACCAGGTCCAGGAGGCAAACGAGGCTGACAGGAGCTCAGAGCGGGGCAGGGCTCCAGGTTTCACCTGGACCTGAGGATATCACTGCCCCACGACAAGGCACGACGAGCTGCGGCGCCCCGAGCCCAGCTCTCACTGCTGGGAGGTCCAAACAACTACGGGGCGGTCAAGAGGATAAAAGGGACCTGGCTGTACCAGAAGAACTGAGGCAAGCAAAGACTAGGACGCGGGTCCTATAGGAAGAGGGATCTTCTCTCCCTTCCCTGCTGCCCACATCTCCAAAATTAGCTCAAAACCAGGAGCTGGAGGAACCCTCCTCAACCACAAGTCCATCGTGAGACAGGACATGGCTGAGGTTCCTCCCTCAGCCCCTGGTTCCTATTTGCAGCATCGACATCCCGCAGCACGTGCCAAGTGCTGGCCAGGTGTGCCCCAGGAGAGGCAACCCTCAGCTGAGATCACCCTGAGCCTCGGGGTCACAGAGCCCCAGCGCTTTTCCCCAGGAGCCTGATCCCAAAAGAGACACGCGGAGCCTTCAAACTGCCACGGCCCTGACCCGGGGGCTCGGGGAAGCAGCACAGAGGGAGGGGAGAAGCATGCTGTAGAAACAAAAACATAATAATAATGTTCGGAACCACCTACAATGCGTTTGTAACAACAACAAAAAAATGAATCGAACAACAAAATAACCAAATACTAAAGTAGAAAACCAAAATTGCACGCTTATTTACGGTGGAAAAGAGGAAGGCAAAACCAGGAGGCTCGGAAAAGGCTCCTACGAGGGGGAGGGAGCAGGGGAAGGGGACCTTTTTGGTTTTATTGCAAACGGTTTGAGAGAGCAAGAAAGGCAGGGAGGGGAGCAAGAGACACCTTGGGAGGATGACCTGTGTGTGCCAGCCGCTCGTGAGGCCCGGGAGGCCG